GTAGGGGGAAGGTCAGCATCTACTGGGGGCACATTTAAGGATCCTGGGACCTCCCACCATGATCAGACTCCAAACTTTATCCCCTGCCTCCTTGGCTCGAAGCCCATAACAACCCCAAGTCCATACTAGACCATATTAGCTTAGTATGTATCCCCAAGGAAAACTCCCTGCTTCTGAACTAGTTTAATAGTTCTATTTGAACTTACTTGTTGAGACTTGACTCAGGAATTCTTTTTCTTTGTATCTTAGCCATTCATGTAAAAGATTTCATACATTTTCTACCTTTCCTATAAGTGTATAAAAGTATATAAAAAGTGTATAAAGTATATATAAAAGTGTATAAAAGTAACAACAGAACAAGTAATTTCTCATTCTTTTCCATAAATAAGTTAGCAGAATGGCTTTCCCAGACTTGGCCAGAAGTTAGTCTGTTAATATGAGGACATCTTGGTAGTATGTTACTATGATTACAAACTGCTTAAAAGGCAAGGAAAACATACAAATAAACTTGAGAGAAATACAGGAAACAATAGTTCTCTAATGAGGCCCACATGTCTTGTATTTGAAGTCAGTGTTTTAAGAACGTTGAACTCTAAGAAGCAGGGTTGGGAACAGTTTGATGTGTGGTAAAGTTTATATCCTTGGAAGTGGAAACCATTATTGTTTTAAGGGAGACTGAAAGGGGATTTAGAAGAGGTTAAAGAAAGATAACTCAAGTTCTAGACAAATGTAAAGCATTTTCTACCAGTAAAATAACTGTAGGCAGTAACTGCAAAAGGTAACATCTATTCAGTGGGTACTTTGGACACATCTTCTATGGATATTTATTAAATATTTTGGGAGATACGCAATCAGTTATGTGAATAGAAATTACCAGTCTGAGCATCTTTCTTAGACTTATTATTATCCCCATTTTTAATTCTGTTGTTTTCACACGGTAAATGTAACAGGATTCTAATTAATATTGAGTGTAACCAGTGAACATTTATTGACTGACTGACAACTTTAGCTATATGCTGTTGTTACAGAAACTGGTTTTTATTTTACTTTCCAATTCCATGTGTTGTTGCTCCCAGTCAGTGGGGTGGAACAGATTTGAGTCACTTTTCTTTTCACTTGCTTTCTTTTTCTATAGAACTTTATAAGATGTGTGCTGTAGTACTCTCACTAGCTACTAATCTGGACTAAGTGTTTGCTTTGACCCTTGTTATGTGAGTAATTGTATCCCTTCCTTGTCCTCACACCTTTGGGAGTAATAATGTTATTTTGAAGAGGTGCCTTGATGGCAGTGCTGCATAAGACATGACTGGTGGTTTTCCTCTATAAAACCTAGTACCCAGAATGAATTCCACATTTGGAGTTTTGGTGTTAGTGATTGTGGTTAGTAACATTTTTAAAGTGTTTGGAATTGAGTGCTACGTAGTCTAATTTATAACACACACAAAAATTTTAAGAGATTGATATGTGTTCATAAATAATCCCAGTTGAGTTCTAAGAGCTTATTTAAGTAAACAGTCCCAATTTCGACCTATATGAGAACTCTTAGAGCATGCATTTTATTTTTATAAACAAAGCCTGTAATAGTACCTACTTGAATTGATTTAAATCATTCATACCCTATCCTTTGAAGACTTTTGAAATATTTCGTGTGGATAAGGTCAGAAGGAATGTATATCCTTCCTGTAGATTTTATAAGAATATTTATGAGTCTTTTTATATGCACAGAAACTGCCAAAGTCATTCTGAATAGATTGTGCTTATTAAATTATTATTGTCATATTGAATCATCTGCAATCATGGCTCACTTTAGAAGAAGCTTTACCCTCTATTTGTGGGGTTATTGATATCTTTAATTTATTAGTCAATGGATATATGCTTAAAGTATTTTTTAAACCAATATATACAAAAGTAAAAGCAGTTATAATGAAATTGTTTTTCAGTCACATTGTGGCTTGTCTTAAATGAGGCTAAACTGACTCGGAAGAATGTTCTTGTGCATTTGCCAAGAGACTTCTGGGATGGGCATATTTTTAAGAACTCAGAACATAAACAACTGTGATCTGTGGCAAGAGAGTTAAATGACCTCATGATGACAATGAGAACAAAGCATTTTTAAGTTATTGTGGTAGTGTGTTAATTCATTGCAATGTGTTTGTCATTCTTCTATTTTGGTATATTAAGTGAGAGCCCAGGCAAAGAAAACTACAGATTGACTTGAACTTAAGATAATTTTTCTTTATTGCTAGAAACAAACTAAGTTCCTGAGAAATATTATTTCCTAAGGATAAATATTGCATTATTATTCTAGAACTAGTGGTCCACATGAACCAGTTACAGACAGAAGCCGTTCATACCTTCAAGTTTTGATTCATTTTAAGCCATTTAGGTCTTAAAGTTTTGATTCATTTTCTGTTGGAAATAATATGTTCTAAACATCAAAGATCAAACACTTGGCAGGAAATAAAATCTATTCCTTCAAATAGATGAGACAGGCGTGTTTATTAAGTACTTACTATGTGTTTCGGACTATGCTAAATATTATGGAATGTGAAAAAAAGTGACTCTACACTGTTTTTAGAGTACAGAATTGACATGCAGATGGAACTTAGAAAGTAGAACTATATAATTGAGTACCAAATAAAATTAAATAACCATATAACCTATTTTCAGAAACTACCTCTAGCCAGGCATGATGGCACATGCCTTTATTGCCAGCTATTGGGAGGCAGAGGCAGGTGGATCTTTGTGAATTCACATCATGAGTTCCAGGCTAAACCTTATCTCAAAAGAATGAAAACAACAGGTTTTAAAGATTTAACTATCACCTAATAATATGTCTTTGAAATTTGAGATTAGACTGTATGCAGATCTGCATGCATTATATATGTCACTCTCTCCTGTTATATGAAATAACTTGTTTTATCAGAATTTATTGCCTTCTCCTATATGAAGCTCTCATCTTACATTCCCTGAGTACATTACTGGTTCATTTGAAGGTCTGTATATGACTTTTTATCATTTACATATCTCCTAAAATCTATGTACTAATGTGAAATGTTTTTCTCATAAAGAATGGGTTTTAATGATTTATTTCATGTGTATGAGTGTTTTATCTGCTTGTATATTGTGCGCTCAGGGTATGCTTGGTGCCTGCAGAGGACAGAAGAGGAAACTGGATCCTTAGAACTGGAGTTACCGATAGTTTTAAGCTACCATGTGGTGCTGGGAATCAAATCTGGGTCCTCTGAAAGAGCAGTGTTCTTAACTTCTGAGCTGTCTCTCCAATCCAAGATACAGTTTTTAATTGAAGACTGTATTTCTGTTTTGGCATCTAACAAATCAGAGCTCCTACCTTCAGTATTTCATAAAAAGAAACTTCAAAGTACACATATTTAATTTAATACTTTTCTAAGTCCTAGAAATTTGGAAATTAAGTCTTTATCTAAAAGGACATGAACCTCAGAACTCACCTGTTTCAACCTGGTCTTTAGAACTCACAGCCTAACAGCACTGTTGTTCGAAGTTCTATATATTTAGACGTTCACCGGGTAGTTTGAAGTTCAAAGTGGGGGAAGTGCATGTGGGAGGGAGGATTTGTAAACATCTACTCTACCAGATTTATTTTGCATCCTGAGACCAAAGGTGAAGTTGAGTGAGTAGGTAGGGTTAAAGCCTAAGCTAGCCGAGGTCATCACTAGTACCAGAGTGAAGAATATATAACTACTTTTCTGTCTTCTTTGAAGATGATGGTATTTATTTATTCATCTATTTTTGTTAGAAATTTTGGAGGACATAGTTGGATATGGAGTTTTAAATATTTATATGACACAAAATCCATCTTTTAAAAATAGCAAATGGCTTGGGATGATGCCATACACTTGTAATCCAGTCTGTCAGGAGGCATGGACAGGAGGATCACCAGAAGTTCAAGGCCTATTTGACCTACATAGTAACTAAGGGACCAGCCCAGTCTGAGAGTTCTTTGTAGGACAACCCTGTCTCTGTATAATGTAACAGTGAATGGAATGGTCAAAATGGTATTTGAGAAAAGAGATGACTGATCTAATTCATCTTCCCAAACACAATCAAAATGCTATAAATGCTAAAACAGTCCTGGAAATGATTCTGTCTTATTTCTAAATAAACTTTAAAATGCTAGTTTAATGGCTAAAAGAAATGAATCAAGAACAGAATATAGGAGCAAAAGCTTTAGAGATGAACCATGAAAACAAGTGACAGCATTGAAAGAAAACCAAACCATATACAATGAAGCTAGTGGCCCTTTGGATCTTAACTCCATTGCCTTGGAGAATGCTTGAGCAGTGACTCAAGGACTTGTTCTTCAGTTTTTGTTAGTCACTTGCAGTGCCCAGGGAACATAGACTGAGTGACAGGAAAAGCTAGAGATTTTGCTAATTAGTTGTTAGTTGTATCTTGACTTTTTGCTCCAGAATTTTTCTTCACTCTGTACGAACCAAAAGGCAGAGAGGCAGGAATTGTTCTTGGAGGTTCAAAACAAGCATAGAGAGAGAAAGGTTAGACCTAAGTAAATATTTGGATTTCTTTTTCCTTTATTTTTTAATTTTTTGTTTTGTTTTGAGACAGTATTTCTGTTGTATAGCCCATTTGAACTTAAACTCAACCTTGAAGTACTGGGGTTATAGGTAAACCACAGTGTCTGACTAATAATAGGTTTTTCATTAATGACAATATAATCAATATATCAAGTTACTGAATTTGTTGATTTGTTTTGATTTCCTTTGGCTAGATGTACTATTTTCTCTCGTGTTCTCCCCCCCACCCTGCGTCCCTCTCTCCCTCTTTCTCTCACCCTCCCTCTCCTTGCCTCCCCCTCCTCTCAAAATAGGATTTATAAAAATTGATTACCTCTCATATGTGGTCTTGATAGTGCAGGTATTCATTGTTGGATATACCCACTTAGGTAAATTATATTTGTTCTCTTGCTTTTGTAAGCTTTTGCCTGATCAACGATAACACCATTTTAAGCTGAACTATTTTTCCTTTTCTAGGCCTTAAGGAGAGTGCAGAAGAAATGGTCAAAAATAAGTTGGAAGGAAAGGATAAGCTGACCCCTTGGGAACAATTTTTAGAGAAGAAGAAAGAAAAGAAAAGACTGAAAAAGAAACAGAAGGTATCCATTCTAATAGACCAGGTGTTTATTGAGTGCCAGTTGTGTGCATCACACCCTACTCATTATTTTGAAATGTTTGTCTCTGTGGCAGAATCTCACTGTATGGTTCACACTCCTCCCTAGTGATGGGACTGTAGATGTGAGCCACTACATCCATCTATAAGGAAATAATTTTTAGACCTTAATTGTAATAAAGTGGCAAAATAGAGTAAAAGCTCTACCCCCTTGATAGGGTACCTTTTTTTACTACAGCTTTCTTCAAAACTTAAATAGGCAATTAGATGCCAGTAATAGAATAATTCCACAAGTAATAAAGCTAGCAGTTTCTGGGAAGATTTTCTAAGTGAGTTTCAATAAAGTATTTACTCTGAGACTTTCCCCTACACTTTTACTTTGGGGGTGGGGTTGTTTTGTTGTTTTCTGAATTGCACTGGCTGTCTTGGAACTCATTCTGTAGACCAGGCTGTCCTCAAATTCATGAGATCACCTGCCTCTGCCTCCCAAGTGCTGGTATTAAAGGCATGTGCCACCACCACCCCCATTAATTTCCTTCTCTTGCCTTATTGCATCAGCTAATGCATCAAGCTCAATATTGGGGGGAAACTGGTGGGGATAATGGACAACCCTGTCTTGTTCCTTTTCTCAATTACCTCAAGTTTTTCGACATTTAGAATGTCTGTGGATTTGTCACACATAGCTTTTATTATATTGAGATATATTCCCTCTAGTACTACACTCTCTTGGATTTTTATCATGACAGCATGTTGCGTTTTTGTCAAAGGCTTTTGCTGCATTTACTAATTGTGATTTTTCTTTTTAAGTCTACTTATTTATTACATTTATTGGCTCATATATGTTAACACCATCCCTGCATCTAGGATATGCCAACTTGGTCATGGTGGATAATCTTTTTGATAATATGTCTGTCTTTATCTTGCAAGGATTTATCTTGAGGATTTTTTTATATTTTTGGTTGTGAGCCTAGCCTTTAACAGCTGAGCCATCTCTCCAGCCCTTGAGGATTTTTTTTAAATGTGTTCATCAGGGATATTGGCCTGTGGATTTCTTTTTCTGTTGTGTCTTTACTTGGCATTGGGATTAGAGTGATACTGGCATGCATCATAGTAGGAGTTTGGGAATATCCCTGTTTCTATTATTCTTTATAGTTTTAAGAATATTTGAAATTTCAAATATTAAGAATATTTGAAAGTGGTAAAATTCTTCTGTGAATTCATCTGGACCTGGGCTTTTTTTTTTTTTTTTTTTTAAACAGAAGCCTTTTATTTTCCTTTTCGTTCTCATTTGTTATAAGTCTGTTTAAATTGTTATAACTTAGAAAGCTAGTGTGAATCTAGAAATTCGTCCATTTCTTTTAGATTTTCCAACTTAATGGCATATGGGTGTTTTAATTACTCCCTTATCTGAATTTCTTTTATGTCTGTTGTAATGTTTCCCTGTTTATTTCTGATTTTGTTAATTTGGGTTAGTTAGGCCAAGGGTCTGTCAACTTGTTTATCTCCTCATAGAACTAGCTCTTAGATTTGTTGATTCTTTGTATTGTTTTCTTTGTTTCAATTTCACTGGTTTCTGCTCTGGTTTTTATTATGTCTTGCCATCTACTAGATTTGTTATCATTTTTCCCCAAAATTTTTAGTTGCATCATTAAGTCATTTATTTGTGCTCTTTATAATTTTGTTATGTAGGCACTTAAGGCTATAAATCTCCCTTGTAGGACTGCTTTTAATGTCTTCAGAGAATTTGTTGCATTGTGCTTTTATTTTCTTTTTAGTTCCAGGAATATTTTTCTTTCTTGGTTTCTTCTCTGACCCATTAGTCATTCCAGTAATGAGTTATTTATTCTCCATGGGTTTGTGTACTTACTAGAGATTTATTTGGTATTGATTTTAGCTTTTATTTAACTATCTATGGTCAGGTAAGATACATGGAGTTACTTGATTTTTCTGAATTTGTCAAGAATTGTTTTGTGTTCCATGATGTAGTCTATTATGGAGGAGCTACCATGGGCTGCTGAGTAGAATATGTATTCTTTGGTGTTTGGGTAGAATAAGTCCATTGGATGTATAATATCATTTGTTTCTAATGTTTCTCCATTTATCTTTTATCCAGATTATCTGTCTATTTGGAGGAAGTAAGGTTTTGAAATCCCCTGTGCTTTTAATTCTAGTAGTACACATGAAATTGTGTATACCAGTTTCAGTACATATATGTTAAGATAGTAATCTTCTTGATTAACTGTACTCTTGATTAAAATGAAGTGCCTATGGTAGTTTGAATGTAATTGACTCCCATAAGCTCTTTGGGAGTGGCACTATTAGGAGGCTTTTTGGAGTAGTGTGGCCTTCTTAGAGGAAGTTTGTCACTATAGAGGCGGGCTTTGATGTCTCCTATGCTCAAGATTCTCCCTGTGTCTCAGACCACTTCCTGTTGCCTGTGGGTCAAGGATTCTCAGCTTCTTCTCTAGTACCATGTCTGCCTACATGTTGCAATATGATGTTAAGAGGCTAAACCTCTGAAAATATGTTACCCCAGTTAAATGCTTTTCCTTTATAAGAGTTGCCATGGTCTCTACAACAATAGAAACCCTAATTAAGACATTGCCCTTTATCTCTTGATTAGTTTCTGTTTGAGGTTATTTGTCAGGTGTCAGGACAATAACACCTACTTGCTTCCTGTTCCTTTTGCTTGAAATACTTTTTTCCATTCTTTCACTTTAAGCTGGATCCTATCTTTAAAACTGAGCTTCTTAGAGACAACAGAAAGATGAACTTTGTTTCTTAATTCATTCAGCCACCCTGCGTCTTTAGATTGGAGAGTTGAAGCTATTGACATTTAAAATTTTTGGAAGGTGTGTGTTGATTTGGGGGGATTTTTTGTTTTGGTTGGTTGGTTGTTGTTTTTGTTTGGTTCAGTATAAATGTTCTTAGTTGTATTTAATATTTCATTAATAACAGCTTCATTTGTCTTCTTTTCTAGGGTGTGTTGGATATGCTTATTCTTTTCACTAAGAAGTATTGTTTCCACTAGTCCCTTTAGGATTGTTTTTTTCTGGACATGTACTCTTTTAGCCTTTTTGTGTTATGCAAAGTTTTTTTCTCCTTCAACTATGGAAGATGGCTTTGCTGGGTACAGTAGTCTACTTAGGTGGTTTTGTAGAACTTGGAGTGCATTGCTCTTCTGGTTTTCAAAGTTTCCATTGTGAAATTAGCTGTTATTCTGATGGTTTTTTCTTTTATGTGACTTAGGATTTTCCTCTAGGAGCTTTCAATATTCTTTGCTCATAGTGTTTTAACTATGATATGTTGTAGGGAGTTTCGCATGTGGTCTTGTCTGTTTGCTATTAATAGCAATTAGCTGACCATATGAGTATATTTTTCCTTAGTTTGAAAGTTTTCTTCTATCATTCTTCTGAACATATGGTCTTTGCCATTGACCTGGGATCATATATGCCTGTAATTCAGACATTTGGTCTTTTCATGGATTCCCAGTTTCTTTCCTATGTTTTGTTTTGTGTTTTTCCTTTTTTCATATTCTTTGCTCCTCTTATTCCCCTAGTTTGTCTTTAGGTTCTGATAGTATATTTTATATTTGACCAATTTTATTTATAAGGCTTTCCTCTGAGTTTTCTAATTGTGTTAAGTTTTTCAATTCCATCTTCATTTCAACTTGAGGTCTCTTCAGTATTTCTATGCATATTGAATTCCTTTCTCAAATCTTACATTGTCTTTGACATGTCATTTCAGCCTTATGTTTATATTTTCTTGGGCACCACTCACGTGTTTTATATTCTTTGAGTTGAGCCATTCAGTTGTATCTTTAAACTCTGAGCTCTTTGATTAGTTTTATGATTGTTCTGTTCTGTGTCCTGGAATTCATCTTTGTATTACTGGAGAACATTTCTACTGGACACTGGTGGATTTGGGTGGAAGGACATGCTGTCTTGACTTGTCACAGTTTTTGTGAAATGAAACCTGAAATGTGGTCTTCTTGTATTGGTTGTGTATCTGATGTGAACGCAGCAGGCTGATGTGATGCCTGGAGGTGAGGACAGGCATGAGAGGGGATGCGATTGTTCATGAACCTGGGAATTAGGAAGGGTGCAGTCATGGTGAGGTCAGGTGGGTTCACCAGGTGGAGCCGCAGCACATGATGTACATGCCTAGCTGGGCCTTGAGGCTGGATCTGGCACAGGCTACTCCAGGACTTGAGTTGGAAGGAATTGTGCCATTTATCAGTGTCTCACCACCTGGGCTTGACTAGGAGGGTCCCTCTGAATGAAGGCCCCCAGGCTGTCTCTAGGGAAGGTCACAATAGGAAGTTGGAATAAGAACTAAAGCAAAAACACTGCTTTCTCTGACTTTCTCAGGTATATTTATGTAACCCAGGACCAAAGAAGGCACCACCCACAGTAAATGAGGCCCTACTTTATCAACTAGCAGTTTAAAAAATGCCCACACAGACATGCCCACAGGCCAGTCTAATGGAGGCAATTCTTCAATTGGGATTTCTTCCAGAGTGAATGTGTCTGTTTACTTTCTGAGGACAGGGACCACACTATCAGATAATATACTTTTCTTACAAAAATCACAGTTTCCTGTTATTATTTTCTGATAATATGTGAACATATTCTCGGGTGTGTACACATATGTGTATAGGTGCATGTGTAGATTGCTCTCCACCTTTGGAGGTTGTTGTTTCTTTGCTTGTCTGGGTTTGTTTGAGATCTGATCTCACTGAAAATGGATCTTACCTATTAGCTAGACTGCCTCTGGAGATCAGTTTCAGCATTCCAGGCCTGTCCCTCCAGCCCAGCACTGAGATTACAGGTGTACTTTTTTTTTTTTAACATGGGAACTGGGGACATGAACTCAGATCCTCATTGTGTGTGCACAGCAAGCTTTTTGTCAATTGAGCCATCTCATCAGCCTTTTATTGACTATTTCCTAATTGTTGGATGGAAACACAAAAGGGTTGACTTAGAATTATTTTATAAGTTAACCTATTTTAGACTAATTTTATATTGAATTTCTTGACTTGACAAATACTTATCATTTTTTTCATATTCACTTATTGCAGTCCTTGTAATGTTGCAACTCTCTTTACATTCATCTTTAAGGCTCTTGCTGAAGAAGCCAGTGAAGATGAGCTTCCTTCTGATGTTGATTTGAATGATCCCTACTTTGCTGAAGAAGTTAAAAAGTTAGGTAAGCCAGCCTGTATTTGTGACTTTTTTCAGTTGGAATCCAAAGAAAAGGATGATACTGGTTGAAAAAACTGTTAATTGAAACTAACCATTCTCTCAAAGTTGCTAGGATTTAGATAACCTCATTAATGGTTAATAACTACGTCTGTCCTGTAGAGTTCAATCACAAGCCATATTGAGAAGAACCAAAATGCCCTCTGTATATAGAAGATATAAAATAATTCCATTATAAAAGACATTTTCCTTATTTTTATGTTATGTGTATGACTGTTTTGCCTGCATGTATGTGTACCACATGTATTCAGAGTTTGAAGAGGCCAGAAGAAGATGCCAGAACACTTGGAACTAGAGTTCTATGTGGTTGTGAGCTGCATGTAGTGCTGGGAACCTAACCTGGGTCCTCTATAGGAGCAACAAATACTCTTGACTCTCCATCTCTCGAACTCCCTCATTTTGAGACTAAATAGTATGTTTAACAGTTTATTAGGGGCTCTTTTCTGGAAATTTTCTTCATAGCTAGCCAGATGGACTCTTAAATGTCTGATGGAATTTAGAATGAAGACTAGTGTCTGCATGGTAATATTTCCTTCCACTCCAAGTCTCTCTGTGCAAAGGCAGTGAAGAGTTTGGCTGGCATGTTTATAGTTTTTTAGTTTACATAGAATTACAGTATAATAGCCTTTTCTATTCAAATATACAAAGGTATCTATGCTTAATCTTTAATCTCTTTTTCTTTTACCCTTGTTAAATGCAATTAAAAGACTAGCTTTTCTCATAGCTCCCTTTATTTTCAAATCCCTAAACTGAGATGACTTACTTCCTGTGTCTAAGGAGTCTTGTTGCCATGGTGTTTATACCACTTGGGCTTCCCAGATACTTTCATTCTTACCTTCTGGGTGTGTATGAATGTGTTTGGTAAGGTTGAGGCCATACTTGTGATGTCTGTACAGAAACCACTGTAAGTATTTCTAATTGCTTCTGTGTGCTTTGCCCTCCCCTCATCTTTCTGCCACACACATGAACTCCCAAAGGCTAATTCTTGGAGAACTCCATGCTTGCATTGTAAAGAGAATAGTTTATGAGGTTTCCCTTCTTGTTCCTCATGACCAGTGCGCCAGAGCAGTTCTCAGCAGGAAAAATCAGAATAGCTTAAAATTATTTCCTGGTTGTTACAGCTTTTTAGCCCTGACATTTTATTGATGAAAGGACATTAAGTTGAATAAATTGCATTATAGGCTATGAGACCCTTTTGAATTGGAAGGAAAAATGGAAACCAGCATATTCTGTTTTTTATCATACCTATGTCTTCATTTCTAAAAGATGATGAATTTTAGCCTTATCCTGTGACTGAAACAAAGTTTATTATGGGAACTGTAAAGCATTGAAGTTTCCTTGTTCTGTGTCCAAGTGCTTCATTGACATATGTAATCTGGGCAGATTGCAGAACTCAGAGCAGCTTTCAAAGAGTAACCTAAGTGGTTCGGTAGCATGGGGTAGCCCCATGTAAGCTTTCTCTAGTGTTAGTAGCAAACATTCTGAGTGAACAATATAGGTAGAATTTGTTTTCAATGTATTCTTTTTTTTTTTTTTTTCATAATGCTCCATAAGAATTGTTTCTATCTGGTTTTAAAGGTTATTGTTGATTTAAAGGAAAATAGGCTGAGTACATTTTACATAAAATGTAAAAGGGTATCTTGCCAAGTTTGTTCATTAGATCATTAAATATTGTGATTGTCAAATGCAGTGCAGTCTGGTAGGCTAGAGCTGTAGCAGTAATAAAGACATGACAGTATCTTTTGTACAGTCTGGTTTTAGGGAAGATTACTAAAAATAGAAACAAGATGAGATAAGGATAGTAAATGTTTTAAAAGAGACTGGTACAAAAAATATAACTAGGAAGTGAAAGAGAAAATGGGTGCATCCTGTAAGTATGATAAGCAAAGAAGGCTCCCTTGAGGTGGTGATATTTGAGCTCAGAACTTGAGCATACACTACTAGAAGAAGAGCATTGCACAGGAAGGAAAGAGATGTAAAGTAAGAAAGAACATTTTGTGCGGTGTTGAAAGAATTGAAAGACATCCATATGGCTGGGTATGGTCAGAGAGGGAGTTCTGTGTGGAGGTATGGGGGAGATCTAATAGAAAGTGACCTGCAGAGCTTTTTTGTCATGACAGAATGTTAGGATTTTATTGTTGCTTATAGAAAGCCACCTCATAGCTTTAAAGCAAGAAAATGACATCACCTGATGTATCTTTTAACATACAGCTAATTCCTGCAATGAAAACTTGTTGAAAAGACACTGGTGAGAACTAGGAAACTCAGTTTTTGCAGAGAAAGGTCCGTTGCTGGCTGGGAGAATTACTGCCTAAGGAAATACATTAAATAAGTTCTCAAGTTTAAAGAGATTGCTTTGGTCAGGATCAGTGAGAGTGGATAAAGACAAGACATATAAATCTGAAGGCCAGAGAAGAGGCAAAAGTATAGAATTTGCAGCAAGGAGAGTAGGAAAGGAGTCCGAGACAGGAAAGAACCAGCTGAACCTCACATGCTAATTCACAAAAAGAACATGCCCCTTTTAAATAGTACTGTAGGCAGAGTGCAAAGCCTTTGCCCTCAGTGAGCTAGCAGTCACTATCGGATACTTAGCACTTGTTAGAAAATACTTCCATAAAGCCACACACCATATAACAATACAGACTGCAAAAGTGATGGATGGTGGTGCAGTAAGATTTAACACCTAAAGACCAAGCCAACTTAGCTTGGGTGAAAATACTCTGTAATGTTCACACAGTGACAAAACCTACTAATGACACATTTCTTAGACCACAATCCATGTTATTAAGTGACTTCTGTCACAATGATGTCTTTTCCCATACTTTGTTTCAGTTCAATTACTTATAGTATAACTGGACTTTGAAAGAAATATGTTTGATATATATTGTATATATGCACTAACAGATGGATTTAATGAATAATTTTCAGTTAATTTCAAATTTGGTCTTCCCAGGATAGCCGACTTTTTCCTTACCAGTGTATATATACCAGTGTATATATACAACATAACAAAGAATAAAAATTGATGTTAATGTTTTGTGCTCATGATCCAATGGGGTGTAAGGGAGATAGTGTTCTAGTTTGGTTTCCATTGCTGTGATAATACACTGACCAAAACCAACTTGGGGAAGAAAAGGGTTTCTATTGCTGTGAAGAGACAACAGCAACTCTTTTTTTTTTCCCTCCATTTTTTTATTTGAGTTAGAAACAAGATTGTTTTACATGTCAATCCCAGCTCCCTCCTCTCCTCCCCTGCCCTCCCCCCAACTAACACCCTACCTACCCCATACCCTTTCTGCTCCACAGGGAAGGTATGGCCTTCCATAGGGAGTCTAAAGAGTCTGTCATATCCTTTGGGATAGGGCCTGGGCCCACCCCCGTGTCTAGGCTCAGGGAGTATCCCTGTATGTGGAATGGGCTCCCAAAGTCCATTCCTATGCTAGGGATAAGTACTGATCTTCTACAAGAGATCCAATAAATTTCTGAGGTCTCCTCACTGACACCCATATTCATGGGGTCTGGAACAGTCCCATGCTGCTTTCCCAGCAATCAGTCTGGAGACCAAGAGCTCCCCCTTGTTCGGTTCAGCTGCTTCTGTGGTTTCACCAGCTTGGTCATGACCCCTTTGCTCATCACTCCTCCTTGCAACTGGATTCCAATTCAGCTCAGTGTTTAGCTGTGGGTGTCTGCTTCTACTTCCACCAGCTGCTAGATGAAGGCTATATATAGGATGGCATATAAGTTAGTCATCAATCTCATTATCAGGGAAGGTCATTTAAGGTAGCCTTTCCTCTGTAGCTTAGATTGTTAGTTGGTGTCATCTTTGTATGTCTCCAGACATTTCCCTAGTAACTGATTTCTCTTTAAACCTATAATGGCTCCCTTTATTGTGGTATCTCTTATCTTGCTCTCCTCTCAAACTTCCTGTTCCCTCATGTCCTCCTCACCCTTTCTCTTCTCCCCTTTTCATTCTCATAGTTCCCTCCCCTCTCCCCCCATACTCCCAATTTGCTCAGGAGATCTTGTCCCTTTCCCCTTCTCCGGGGGATCACGTATGAGTCCTCCTTGTTACCTAGCTTCTCTGGCGATATGGATTGTAGCCTGGTAATCCTTTGCTCTATGTCTAGAATCCATATATGTTTGTCTTTTTGTGATTGGGTTACCTTGCTCAGAATGGTTTCTTCTAGTTCCATCCATTTTCCTGCAAATGTCAAGATGCCATTGTTTTTTCCTGCTGAGTAGTCCTCCATTGTGTAAATGTACCACATTTTCTCTATCCATTCTTCAGTAGAGGGCCATCTAGGTTGCTTCCAGGTTCTGGCTATTACAAATAATGCTGCTATGAACATAGTTGAACAGATGTCCTTGTATGAATGTGCTTCTTTTGGGTATATGCCTAAGAGTGGAATTGCTGGATCTTGTGGTAGACTGATTCCCATTTTCCTGAGGAATCGCCATACCTATTTCCAAAGTGGCTGTACGAACTTGTACTCCCACTAGCAGTGGAGGAGTGTTCCCCTTTCTCCACATCCTCTCCAGCATAAACTGGTGTTTTTGATTTTAGCCATTCTGACAGGAGAAAGATGGTATCTCAGAGTTGTTTTGATTTGCATTTCCCTGATGGCTAAGGATGTTGAACACTTTTATATTCCTCTCTTGAGAATAATCTATTTAGTTCCATACCCCACTTTTTAATTGGATTATTTGGTGTTTTGGAGACTAGCTTTTTGAGTTCTTTATAAATTTTGGAGATCAGCCCTCTGTCAGATGTGAGGTTGGTGAATATCTTTTCCCATTCTGTGGGCTACCATTTTGTCTTGCTGACTGGACCACATCAACTCTTGATAAGGAAAACATTTAGTTGGGGCTGGCTCATAGTTTCAGAGATTTAGTGTATTGTTGTCATCACAAGAAATACAGCGGCAAGCAGACAGATATACATGGTGCTGGGGAAAGAGTTGAGTCTTGATCCCCAGGCAGCAGAAGGAGACTGCTGCACTAAGCATAGATTGAGCATATGAGACCTTAAAACCCACCTCCATAGTGACACACTTCCTCCAACAAGGCCACACCTCCTAGTAGTGCCTCTCTCTGTGGCCAAGCATTTAAACACCAAAGTCTGAGGGGGTCACTCCTATTTCAACCACAACAGCATACTTGTCTGACATTTCCACAACAGCCCATGATCTCAAGTTAAGAACCTGGAAGGAGGTAGGAACTGAAGCAGACACTGTAGAAGCATGCTGCTTCCTAGCTTACACAGCTTCCTTTCTTTTATCACCCAGAATCATTTACCCAGGGGCGGCATGACCCACAGTAGCTAGACTCTCCCACGTCAGCCATTAATCAAGAAAATTCTCCATAGACATGCCCACAGAACAGTCTGATGAAGGAAGTTCCTCAGTTGAGATTTCCTTTTCCCAAATATGTCTGGGTTTCTGTCAGGTTGACAAAACCAACTAGCCCATATGGAAGCATACTTATAACTTTAGGGAAGTCAATTCCTGAAGGAAGTCAGAAAGGGGTGTGTCTTTTAGTATGCATCTCCAGATATAAGGTTTGACAGTTGGTTCTTTTTTCCCTCCAATACTGTTTAGACAGTAGTTATTCTTAAGGGGAGCTGGTGTTAGCTCAAAATTCTTGGTTTTGTTTGTTTGTTGTTTTGTCTTTGAGCTATAAAGTAACTCAGGTGACCTAAATTAATACATGAATGTATTGCCACAACATTGTCTTCTTTGTTAATTTGTCAAGATACATCCTGGCCATTAGTACTTTAGAAGTAAAATGTAGTCATTACTTAAAGACTTATATCTGGTTTCCAAAAATATTCAAGACATGATTAGAAGTATGATACGCCACGTTTTGTTGATACTCATGGGAGACCTGCCCTTTTCTAAAGAGAAATGGAGGGGGAATGGATTGGGGAGTGGAAACAGAGGGGTCCTGGGGAGAGGGACTAGAGAGAGAGGAGAGAGAAGAAAGTACAGCCAGGATGTAAAATAAATTTATTTTTTTACGAAAAGTATGTAGTTCAAGTCCTGTACATAAACAGGACAGTAAGTAGTATAAGAAGGTGAACTTGAATATATTTATAACATGCTTGTCCTTGGGCATCTTGTAGAGCTAAACTTCCACACCTTATAAATGCATAAACTTTCAATATATGAAAGAATTGATTTTGATTGATGCCAGATGTGGTATTTGGGTTGGGTTAGGAGCCAATGTAAGCACCAGAGATTTGTTACAGTTTTTCCCCTTAAACTGAAAACTTGTTACCAAGAGAGTTATGAGAGTTTTGAAAATATACTTCTAAGATAAAAGTTAATTTTTTTTCCTTTGGATATGAAATATTGGAAATTTTTTTATTGCTGATTTGTAACTTTTCTTTTTTTGGTGCTAAGGATGGATAGAAGGCCTCCTGCATACAAGACAAGCAGTTGACCACTGAGCTACACCCCAGCCCTAATTGTATAAACTCTATAATAAGATTTTGCTTTTGAAAAAGTAGGACTTTTTTTTTTTAATGTATCCCTTGTCTTGCCGTCTTTAAGTGTTTTATAAACCACCATGAAATTCAACTGTATTTTACCTTTTTGACTCATTCAGTCAGTATGTTACGTGTTTACAGCAAACTGGTTGTATGCTGCATTACAGTTTATAAGTGATATTTGCACCCTGTCCTCAAATCCATTTTCAGCTCACTTTATAGTTGACTATATTAGGTAATAGATTGCTCAGGAGCAGTTGGTAGTTGGTAGAATCTGAATCCTACTGTGCTTCTGCAAGGATATTGTAAAGATTAGAGACAGCCAGGACCCATGAATATAAGCTTGGTATGAAAAAAACACTTTTTTGTTGTTTTGTTTCTTAAGCAAAACCATAATGTATCACCCTAAACAAAGACTGTTGATGTTAGATGCAGAAATTTGCATCAAAACAGGGGAGTCAATGGAGGGCCTTACCGTCCCCCATCTGCTCAGTACTGAGACCTTCCTACAATTGCGGAGGGCCATTGCTGTCTGTCCCATATAAAGAACTCAACTAAACTAGAAGAAGCTTTTCTCAGACACTAGAACTAATATGGAATTTCCTTATAGATAGTCCTATTACAGACTTTGTTTTATAGTACATTATTTTCCATCATTAAGCTTTTTGCTTACTGTAACCAATACAGGTTACATCTTGGTGAGTGAAAAGGCACAAATAGCTAGAATAGCCAAGAAATAAAAGAATTGAGAGAGATTTATTACCTGCAGTAGATTAGTTCCACACAGAGGTTTTCTAAAGCAGTGCTGTCTTCAGTTCAGCATAAAGATATTGGTCAGGGAGCCTACACATTCATAGAGGTAGGCATATTCCTAAGCATGATCAGTTAAGGAATACACTGTTGAGCATGCTCAGCTTAAAGTCAGTTCAGGACAAATAACAGACAACTTTTGAGGCATACTTAGCTCAAGACTATAGAACTTGTTTAAAGGTTAAAATAGGAGCTGACAAAATGGCTCTGGAGGTAGAAGTGTTTGCCACGTATACCTGATGGACCTGAGTTTCATCCCCAGAAACCCACAGTGGGTGAAGAGAACCAGTCTCACAAGGTGTCTTCTGATAATGTGCACAGAATGAAGTTCTAAAAAGGTTGAAATAGTAGGTGGGAATATTTTGGACAAAGTCAGTCTGTATCATGAAGTTGGTGGACAGGAATATCTCTGGGCATGATCAGTTCCCCCACAATGTTTTAACTGACAGGACAACAAAAGAGACTTTGAAAGTCTGTTACTTAGATAGAACAATTATTTCAATTTACTTTCTGTAACTATAAAGTTCTAACATCTTTTTCAGAGTCTTGGTTTTTATGTGAGTCAATAGATTTGGTCCTTATGTACTTCTTGCAATATTCCCAAGAGATTTAAAAAAAAAAAAAAAAAAAAAAAAAGCTTTGTGTTTCTTTTGCTTTGTTCTGGTTTTGAGACAGGATCTCATTATGTACCCATGCTGACATTTCAGGCATGAATGATGGGGACTATCTTAAGAAATATTTCCTACTTGCTGGGAGATTCCCTAATAAGATAATGCATGTAACCTGAATCAAAAACTGTTTTTAAAAAAATGTGCCCTCTTCTTGAATCCCCAGGACTAGAGTTTCAAGTGCTTGTGAGCCAACATGTGGGTGCTGTGAACTGAATTCAGGAACAAGTGCTCTCAACCAGCCATCTTTCTAGCATCTTGGTTGTTGTTACTATAGAGAGCATTGGGGTGTGCTAGTTACATTTCTCTTGTGATAAAGCACCATATCCAAGGCAACTAATAGAAGAGTTTATTTTGGTTTTTGGTTCCAGAAAGTTAGAGCCCATCATGGCAGGGTGGAGGCAACAAGTATGGTGGCAGGAGCAGGAAGCTGAGTGCTCACATCTTAGCCCACAATCATGAAGCACAGATAGTGTACTAGAAATGATGTGAGACTATAAACACTGTTCTCAGTGTAATGCCATACCTAGCAAACCTCCTCAGACATCACTACCAACTGGGGACCAAGTATCCAAATGCCTAAGGCTGTGGGGGACATTCCTCATTTAAACCATTCTATTGGATTATTTTTGTTTCATTGTTTGGAGATGGGGTCTCAGATAGCTCAAGTTGGCTTCCTACTTCCTGTTAGCTAGGGGGAATCTTACCTCCAATTCCCAAGTGCTTCAGTTGCAGGCATGAGTTGAACCACCATGGCTGGTTCTATGTTGTGTTGAGGAGCAAATCCAGAACTTTATGCATGCTAGGCAAGCACTCTACCATCTGACCTATATCCCCAGGCTAGGTTTGTTGGTTTCTATTCAGTGGAACAAAAAGCAGTTTATCAAAAAGAAGACAGTATCCCAGGGGTCACAGAGACCCAATGAAGTTTCCTCACACTCAGATACACAAAAGAAAGAAAAAAGTCATACCATCAACATAATTACTGTGGAACTTAAGACATGTATGTGTAATCAGACAATGATGGAAATAATTGCAGGCATCTTACAGTAGTAGGTGCCAAGCAGTAACTATATTCTTAACAGTTTACTCTAGTCCTCAGAGTCCCTAGAATAATCCTACAGGTAGTTGCCATTACTAAATTCCATGTTTGTGGCTAGAAAGATGGCTCAGTGGCTAAATTTAAGCACTCACTTCTTTTGGAGAGAATTCCATTTCAGTTCCCAGCACTCATATGACAACTCAACTAAAGCAATTCCAAGAGACCTGATGCCCTCTTCTGATATCCATGAGTACTAAGCATGCACACATATTGCAGGATATAGCTGAGAGTGTGAAGTTGTGAAGGTGCTTCCCACCACACTGAAGACCTGAGTTTAACCCCTGGGACCCAATTGGTAGAAAAGAAAAACCAACTCCCACAAGTTGTCCTTTGGCCTTCACACTTGATGTGGTACATGCATAGCCACATACAGACACACCAAAATAAATTAATTTTAAAAACAAACACCTGTTTTACAGATAAGGGCATAATCTGATTCTCTTATTCATCCTTTTAAATAACCTGTGTGTTGGAGGGTGTTTTCTTCACTACAGAAGGACTTTTGTTCAGTACATGGTCTAGTGATTCTCTTTACTAATTACTGGTGTTGTTTTGGTTTTGAGTTGGCCTTATTATTATATCAAGCTTAGAAGTCACAACCCTTCTTCCTCTGCTAAGTGCTAAAATTATAGAAACATGCAACCACACCAACAAAAATACCTTCCTTTCAATACTTAGTCCCCTTCCAGAAGACTTGTATGCTCTGTTGCTACCCATGGACTTCTTTCAGTGTTGTGCTTTTCCTTCCTGGAGTTTTGACAGTTATTAAGATTATTCCTAGATATTTTGCATTTTGTTCATAGTATAAAGAGATTTTTGCTGTTAATCCTGTCATTATAACCCTCCTCTGTTGGTTTGTTGTACCAGGTGTAAAGAAAAAATCAATGAAATCTACAAAAGACAGCTTATCTTCCGAGGAAGAAGCTGACCTAGAAAAGCAAAAGGTAGAAAGGCTCATTGTTAACTGTTTATCGATGATTGGTGTGTGCAATTGAAATGATGTGGTTCTAATTATAAAACTGTGGGTTTCCAGTGGGTTTTATAAATATATTATAAGATATATAAATATTTTAGACACATAGTTTTTAAATGTTACCTTTATCCAAACACTATTTCTCCAACTAATATGAAGTCAAAGTTTCTCAAGTCCTTTATGACTGAGAGGAGATATTCTCATTTACACCATCTAGTATGACCAAGACAGAAAATACTGTTGTTGAAACATAAAATAGTATTTCCATATCCTTTGGTTCTATTTGAATCTGCCCTGTATTACAGTTTCTGTTACAGCTTGTCAAATGCTAATTTCTCTTTTATTGTTAATAAATGTAAGAGCTGGGCAGTACTCAGGAGGCAGAGGCAGGAGGATCTCTGTGAGTTCGAGGCCAGCCTGGTCTACAAAGCTACACAGAGAAACCCTGTCTCGAAAAATCAAAACCAAACAAACAAAAAAACCCATTAGTGCAGCTGGGACAGTATATGAGAACACTGGCAGTGGGTCCAAGATCTAACTCTAATGTACAAACTGACTTAGTGGGGCCCATTCTATATGGAGAGACACCTTGTTCAGTCTAGACACAGGGGTGTGGGGGGTGGAGAAGTGCCTTGTTCCTGCCTCAATGAGATAATGGGACAGACTTAGTAGACTTCCAGGGGAGGCTTTATCCTCTCCGAAGAGCAGATGAGAGGTGGGGGGAAGGGGTACCAGGAGGAGAGGAGGGAAGGGCAACTGGGATTGGAATGTAAAAAATAAATTTTTTTAAAAAAGAGAAAAAGAAATGCTCTGATGCTTATGCATAACCAGTGGCTCTGGCAGTGGGCCTTGACTGGCCACCTAAACTGTTCAGTTTAATGCATTTTTCTATTCTCTATCCATTACATGTTAAGTAGAACTCATAAAGTTACTTAAAGGTCCATTCATGGACCATGGCTCTAGAAGGAAGTAGAATGTGAGTGCCAGTGGTGGAAGGAAAGGAAATTCAAGCATGTCTGTGTGTAAGGGTCACAGAGCATGCACCTGGGTGTTTTCTCCTAGTGCTTGTGGTTGTTTACTTGACCCTTGAGGTATCTCTAATCTCATGCTCAATAGAAACAGAATGCTTGGTCTCAGAGGCAAATGCTGAGCCCAGTTCATGAAAGTATATCAGTATTGAGAGAGGCAAGAAGAAGAAGGGGGGGAAAAAAAAACAAGCAAAAGAATTTTCCTAGTTGCTAAAGTACACATCTGGAAACTAATTTGAATCACCAAGAAAGTTTCCTGTCATTGCATAAAGAGAACAAGGTGAAGATGAAATGTATTTGACAGACCCGGGGCTCTTGTTCCTTCTCCTGCTAATCAGATTACTTTACAGGGTTGGAAGTCTGTCCTTTGCAGAAGGGCTGTTACTTCCCTCCTTCCCTGTAGCTAATCCATCCTCACATCACAGCATGGAATGGACGTGAGCTGTGTGTCTTGGGCCTCTTTCTACTCTCCACTCATTGAGTATAAGCAATTCTCAGAGTAACAGCTCAGGAAGACTCCACTGTACATTGGAGGGTTTGCTTGTTTGTTTTTCTCTCCATAGGCTGAAATGGCCTTGCTTGTAATGGATGAGGAAGAGGACAGTAAGAAACACTTCAACTATGACAAGATTGTGGAGCACCAGAATCTGAGCAAAAAGAAGAAGAAACAGCTTATGAAAAAGAAGGAGTTACTTGAGGATGACTTTGAGGTAACCCGAAGCACAAGTCTTTATTAGCTTCTTGAAGGTGGAGTTAAATCTAAAGTCCTCTCTGGATATAGAAATTAGGCATGAAGTTACCCTTGAAAAGCCCTTATCAGGGGTCCCTAATGGTGGCAAGCAACTGTCCTTTAACACAGTGCATCCTAGAGTGGATCACATCTCGGTGAGTTAGTTACCTTTAATTTGGTAGCCATGTTACAACAAAAACTTGGAGCCTTTAAATATTTAAACTAGAAGCAGTGGTGTTCATGCTATGAGAGGTCAGCTGAGGGTTCTCGTGACATTGGTCTCACACTCACTATGGACACAGTAGCCAACATGGTGGGCAATGCTTTTTAATTTCTTTGATTCTCATTGCTGTCACTTTTCCATTTTCTTCTTATGGTGAGTACATGGTCCTAATGGCCATATACATGAGTTTGAGCCTCCCACCGTAAACTTTAAAATATCCACTAAGAATTACTTAACAGCTTCCATTGTGAACGTGGAAGGAAAGATGGGTGAGCTTTGAATTTGGTCAAAGTGGAAAAAAGGACATTGGTTTCTTTGTAGCATGTAGAAGGATTGCAGGCCACTATGGCTCCACCTTCTTATATATGCTTCTGTTCCCATGAAGTTTCTGATTGGTTTTCTAATAAGAAAAAGAATATATTATAATATTAAATATATTAAATATTAAATATATTAGATATTAAATATATAAATATAATTTATATAAATATAAATAAAATAATATATTATTTTCATGAGGACTGTGGAGATGATTCAGTGGGTAAAGAATTTGCTGAACAATCATGAAACGTGTGTTTGGATCCTAGCACCCACCTAAAAACTAGCAGTGGTAATATACCTATAACCTGAGGGCTGTAAGAGATGGAGATAGGCAGATCCCAGGGACCTGCTGACTGCCAGCCTACCCAGGTGATGAAACTCCAGCTTCAATGAGAGAAACTATCTCAAAATAAAAAGTAGAGAGCATTAAAGAAAGACACCTGTCAACAGCCTCAGTTATCACTGTAACTAAGTACAGCTATGATCCATGTCCAGTAGACTCAGGTTTTTCTCGTTCATCACTGCTGGATTGAAGGGTACATTTTTCAAAGTAAAATCATAATGCCTTTTTAGAAACATAGAGGATAAGTTTGGGGTTTGTATCTTAGCAAATCTTGGACTGGAGTGTGAATTTCTTTGCTTCCCTCCCGCCCCACCCCCACATGTGGTTCTAGGGTGATTAAACCTAGTACTTCACACACAGGTTTTAGGCAAGCACTCTACCATTGAGCAACATCTGCAGCTACCATCTTGTGTTATATTTTGAAACAGGGTTTTGCCAAGCTGCCCAACGTGGCCTTGAATCTGAAATCCTTCTGAGTCAGTCTCCTGAGTAGCTGGAATTACTGCTCCATGCTACCTGGCCTAGCTAGTAGCTACTTTTTCTTGACACCAAGTTTAAAATTTATTAAAATTACACAGGATGCAGTGACTGCTTGAACTCCAGGCAATTGAGCAATGTCGTAATTGACTTATTTATGATGGACAGAAGTCAGTCTTAGGCTAAGCAAAGAGCAGAAGCCCTTGCCTTGAGAACCACTTCTCTAGTCAAAGTAATTATTCCAGTCACTATACACATGGACCACTATTCTTCCCTTTCAAATATATTGGTTTGGGGATGAAGAGAACAGTATCCCCTGTACATTTTGGTTGAAGGTCAAGCCTTAAAATTCCATCGAGTCTACCCTGGACAAGTGGCACAGGCCTATAATCCCAGCTCTCAGAAGGCCAAGGCCAGGAGGATCCTGTTCAAGAGCAGAAGGTTCCAGTCCAGCTTGGACTTAAAGACAGACCTTGTCTCAGAGAACAAAGTAAAGAACCTTTCTTGAGATTGCAGAAAGTAGTTCCAATGTCTCGTTGCACAGTACGCACACCTGTGTACTAATGACCAGCAGCTCTTTGCCTCTATTTACTTACTTGTTCCCTTTAAATTTGCAGGTAAATGTTAACGACTCACGATTTCAGGCAATGTACACTTCCCACTTATTCAATTTGGATCCCTCTGATCCTAATTTCAAGAAAACAAAGGCTATGGAAAAAATTCTTGAGGAGAAAGCCCGGCAGCGAGAACGAAAAGAAGAGCTACTTATTCAAGCAGTAGAGAAAGCTGAGCAGAACACAGGAAAGTCGGCACAGAAGCGGCCCATAGATCCTGCCTTGTCTTTGCTGATTAAATCTGTGAAAAACAAAACAGAGCAATTCCAAGCCAGAAAAAAACAGAGAGTCAAATAACAGGGCACTGACTCTGTAGTCTTACATTCACAGAAATAGTATAAGGGATAATGGGAATGAAGCCACCTTTCTAGAATATGAAATTTTTCTGTTTTCTGACCATTGTAATGTTGTTCTTCATTGGAGCTAGAGAGATGGCTCAACAGTAAAGAACAATGGTGCTTTTTCAAAGTATCTGAGTTTGGTTCCCAGCACTCACATGGCAGGTCACAACTTTACGTAATTCCAGTTCCGGGAGATCCAGTGCCCTCTCGTGGCCTCTGTGGGCATTGCATGCTCATAGTGCCCACACAAACATGCAGGCAAAATGGTCTCACACAATTTTTTTCCATGTTCCCCTTCCATAATTGTTATACTGAATTGTAAATGACTCACATTTTATACTGTGCATTTCCACAGATTTGTCATAATATAATTATGTGAAGTGTAAAATTTATAAAATTTTTATATTGTATGAAGTTCGTTTCCTACAAATACAGTGTGACTCTAATTTAGCTTCCAAAGAGACTATTTACAATATATGTAAAATTAGTGTCCATTTTTCTGTACAAAGATTAAAAACAAATTTAAAAAATATATATATGTAGTACCTTATTCTGTGAAGACAGGTGGCAGATCTAAGTAACTGTTAAGATAACTTATTTTCCTATCATAAGGATAGAAGCTGTGAATTATTTTTTCCATGCTTAGTAATTTGCATGTAGAACTAATTTATGAATAAAAGTGCAAGACATTTTTACTAGTTTGTGTACTGTTGGTTTGTTTCATTATATGCACTTCAAGCAGCCTATTCTGGAAAAATCATATCTGAAAGTATGACTCTAACTGTTTAAGAAGACAGTTCCTTGGAAAGGCAGTTTCATTTTTACATTGCCCGTAATTAAATTTGAAATATTCATGGACTCTGCAGTCAGTTTTCTATTTGTAGGAACAACAATAATAACAAAACCCTCCTGTCCTTTAGGTTTTTAGAATGTTTTAGAAGGCTTTGTCTGCTGGCATAAAGGAAACCCCAGTGCTTTGTAAAATTAAAGGACATCTTCAAGACTAAGACCCTTGGATCCATTTGGTATAGATTTTAAGAACTACTATCTGACCACTCACAGGATGCTGCATATAAGTAAAAGGAAATAAAGCCAAAATGGACTGTAGCAATTAAAGATGCAACCCCTTCTGAAAGACAGTACAAATTCTCTAGGATTGTGTTTAATATCAAGGTTGTCATCTTTAGCATTCAAACCTGAGTTTACCAAGAAAGCATGTTTTTTTAAAGATATGAATGTCAGAGCAGTATCAAAACCCTGGTAGTTTAAATAATTTCCGAAAGAGGGAGAGAAAAAATAGCAGGTGTTAAATAAGTTGCTTATTATAATGAAGAACAGTAAAGCCTCTGCACAGGGTAATGCTGAGATACATCTGTGAACTTCCTAACACTGGCCAGTCAGTGAGAATGCTGTCAGAGGATTATTACATCTACCGGCACTTTTTATTTCAAGAAAATTTTTGTTACCTTCAAGTCAAGTAGGGATTCAAATTTAATTGGTTTGAATTTTTTCTTTTCCAGTACTAAGAATAAAACCCAGTCCATATGCACTAGGCTAGTGTTCTCCCACCAAGCAACATTCCAGATCTTGGTTTGAGACAGAGTGCTGTATAGTTCAGACTGGCTTTAAACTCACATCCTCTGGCTCTGAGTTAAGAGATTACAGGCCAGAACCACTCTTTGATTTCAGGATTCCTGAGAAACCCAGCTCTTTAGTGGATTTGATACTGGAAAAGTGAGGTTTGGATTCACAGGAACTTTCCTCATGCTTTAAGTGGGCTTCTCATGGGCTAGGATGCCAGACACTCAGGGTTGCATGAAACTGACTGTGTCAGTGGCTTCCAAGTATCTGGCAAATTCAAAGAATGAAATTCACAGAACCCAGAGGGTGAGTTAGAAGTTTGGTGTAGATTTGTAGATGAGAAAGCAGAGCACCTGTCTAATGAGATTGGGTTCCAGGAAATGTACCATCGAGCTACTCATTTGAGGTCTTTTTAGATAACTGATGGCAGACACTGGAGCGAAGCATGGGGAGGTAGTGTATCCATCCAGTTGGCTCACACAAGGTCCAGGTGTCCTCAGTTGTTACATCCTCAGCATCTCGGCAGAGTTAGGAAATGACAAGGAACCAAGGACCAGATCTCCCTTTGAGCATTCCTGGCTTTTTACAAAGACTCTGAGCTGCTATTTAGGAGCCCTACTTGACCTGACCAGCTTCTACTTCAAGTTATCAGTTTTGTTGTTTTTTGTTTTTCTTTTAACTTAGAACCTTTGTTTCTAACTTAAATTGTAAAGTCTCCTTTTACTAGTGAAGCAAATAGTTGGGCAAACTGTAAATTTTACTTTATTTTTTTCAAAACAGAGTTTCTCTGTAACCTAGGCTATTCTGCAGATAACCCCAAGAAACCTTTCTACTCATGTTGTGCTTAAGTTCTATGGTGTCACTGTACCCTTGCTTACAGTTATTATATCTTATCATAAATTTATTACAGTTTTATATTTTATAAGTCTACTTGTTAAATGAATTTCTGTGGAAGGTGGAAGGGTTTAGTTGATATTATCTCCCTTTATTTTTTTAATTAATCTCTTCTAAAATTAAGAAAGAATATTTCTCAACTTGTATTTTTTAGGACCAGTACATTCTTGATACCTGTGGTGGTTTGAATATAATTGGCCCCCATAATCTCATAGGGAAGTGGCACTATGAGGTGTGGCTTTGTTGGAGTGGGTATGACCATGCTGGAGGAAGTGTGTGGGCACTGTGAGGGCAAGCTTTGAGTTCTCTTTTGCTCAAGCTTCCTTCAGTGTGACTGTCAATTGACTTCCTGTTGCCTACAGGATGTAGCACTCTCAGCTCCAACATTATGTCTGCCTGCATGCCCACCCACATGTTCCACCATGATGATAATGGACTGAACCTCTGAACTGTAAGCGAGCCACCCCAATTAAGTGTTTTCCTCATAAGAGTTACCGTGGTCATGGTGCTCCCTCACAGCAATAAAAACCCTAAGAGAAGTCGGTACCAGGGACTGGGATATTATTGTAATAGGCCTGACTACGTTATTGTTTGGAGTAATAATGGACTTTGATACTTTGGGTTTGGAAAGCAGTAGAATGCATTAAGCACTGCCTAATGGCCCACACTGCTGGTAGGGACGTGGAAGACAATGGTGCTGAGGGATTTGATGAACTGTCCAGTGCAGGATCAAAAGGTTTCAGAGGATGATTTTAGTAAGGTTGCCTAGAAATCGTTCTTGTGATATTTTGGTGTCGGGAAGTAGCTGCCTTTTGCCTTTGTCCAAAGAGTCTGCCATTCTAACAGGAGTAAGATGGTATCTCAGAATCAAACAGAGACACTCCTGTTAGAATGGCTAAAATCAAAAACACCAATGATAGTTTATGTTGGAGAGGATGTGGAGAAAGGGGAACACTCCTGCACTGCTGGTGGGAGTGCCAACTTGTACAGCCATTTTAGAAATCAGTATGGCGACTCCTCAGGAAAATGGGAATCAATCTACCACAAGATCCAGCAATTCCACTCTTAGGCATATACCCAAAAGATGCACATTCATACAACAAGGACATCTGTTCGGTGATGTTTATAGCAGCACTATTTGTAATAGCCAGAACCTGGAAGCAACCTAGATGCCCCTCAACTGAAGAATGGATAGAGAAAATGTGGTACATCTACCCAATGGAATACTACTCAGAAGAAAAAAAAAAAAATGGAATCTTGAAATTTGCAGGAAAATGGATGGAACTAGAAAAAAACATTCTGAGTGAGGTAACCCAATCACAAAAAGGCAAATGTGGTATTACTTACTCATATATGGATTTTAGACAAGAGTAAAGGAATACCAGCCTACAATCCACACTTCCAGAGAAGCTAGTAAACAAGGAGGACCCTAAGAGAGACATACATGGTCCCCTGGAGAAGGGGAAAGGGACAAGCTCTCCTGAGCAAATTGGGAGCAAGGGAGAAGGTGGGGAGGGAGCTATGAGAATGAGAAGGGGAGAAGAGAAGGTGTGAGGAGGACATGAGGGAGCAGAAAGGTTGAGTTGGGGAAGAATAGAAGAAAACAAGAAAGGAGATACCATAATAGAGGGAGACATTTTAGGTTTACAGAGAAATCAGGCACTAGGGAAAGGTCTGGAGATCTATAAAGATGACGCCAACTAACAATCTAAGCAACAGAGGATAGGCTACCTTAAATGCCCTCCCCTCATAATGAGATTGATGACTGTCTCATATGCCATCCTATAGCCTTCATCCAGCAGCTGATGAAGTAGAAGAAGACACCCACAGCTAATCACTGAACTGAACTGGAATCCAGGAGAAGAATGAGTGATGGGCAAAGGGGTCCAGACCAGGCTGGTGAAACCCACAGAAACAGATGACCTGAACAACAAAGAGCTCTTGCTCCCCAGACTGATAGCTATGGGACTAATCCAGACCCCAGGAATGTGGGTTTCAGTGAGGAGACCTCGGAAATCTACAGGACCAACCACCTGTAGTAATTCAGTACTTATCCCTAGCATAGGTGGGGGCTTTGGGAGCCCAATCCACATACAGGGATACTCCCTGAACCAAGACACATGGGGGTGGGCCTAGGCCCGATCCCAAAGGATATGATAGATTATGATGACCTCCCCTCCCTATGGAAGGCCTCACCCTCCCTGGGGAGCAGAAAGGATATGTGATAGGTAGGGTTTTAGTTGGGGGGAGGTAGTAGGGGGGAAAGGGGAGGGAGAGGGAACTGGGATTGACATGTAAAACAATCTTGTTTCTAATTCAAATAAAAAAAAGATTTAAAAAAATGTCTCTGACCTTGAAAACATACCTAACATGACTAAAACTTTGATTGTTATAGATAACTACTAACCTCTCATTATTATTCTAAATAGCTTTAAAGAACTAAAATTTTACAACATTTATTTAAGTGAGCTGAGAGGCACAATACCTTAAACAAGAGTAGAAACATACATCTAGTATGCTACAACAAAAATAACAAATTTATGTCACTACAATAATCCATACCAATGTAAAACATTTGAGACCAACGGTTGTTTAAAAGTAGACCCAACAATCTTCTTCCCTTTTATCCTATCATTTCTATACTATATCCCCCCTTTTTCCCTTCAGAAAGAGACCCCTGAATCTAATCTAATCTTTGTTCAGTTTTTTTTTCTTGAGCATGACCAATAGCAACTTGTAACCAAACCCTCTAGATGATGACAAATATCTGTAAGACAGCAAATGACCAAAAACATCCACCCTGACTCTTGGGAATGTGGGTATTGTGTTCTCTAGACTTCTTCATGTTGTCTGGGGGCAACAGCTTCTTTAGGGGACCCTGAGAAAATTGGGATGATTGTGAAGTCCTGGGAAAGCTAAATGTATCATTTGTGGTTTAGTCTCTGTGTGATGGGAAAGTGTAGACGTTGTCTGAAGTCTTGGCTGGATGGTCTGTGACACGGGATCATCTCAGCTAGCAGATTTGAAGTTGTTCTGAATGCAGAATTTTGAGGAAACTGTAATAGAGGCATTCTAAGAAGCTGGATCACTTGGGCTACTTGCCTTCCTTGGTGTCTGGTTCTTTTGTTCTGAAAACATATAAACTTTTAACAATAACATATATATCTGAATTACCACAAGTATGGAATGTGCAGTGTGCAAAAGGCAGTTAAAGATTTTTTGT